ATAATGGCAGTGTGGTGTAAGAATATACATCGAGAATGTGGTGGAAAAGTGATGACAGTGTAATATGTCACTGTGATTAATCAACCATCAACGATCTACAGCGGCACTAGAGTGGCCGGCGCCTGGCGGCGAAGAATGATAGTGTGACAGTGATAGTGTGGTTGTTACAATGTGACGATGTAGTGAGTGTGGCAGTATAATAATGACAATGTGAACGACTATATTGGTCTTAAAACACTTATGACTTCTATTTAGGTATTTTCATATATAATTTTTACTTCTATTTCGGGAGTTCCTCCCGAAAATAATTTGTATTCACTCCATCCAAAAATTTCCTTCCCGATTTGAATTGGCACGAAGATTAATAAAAGTAAAAAAGTGTAAAAATTTTCCATGTGTTGCCCTTGATGTGATGGAATAAAGTGAATAGTGTAAAGAAATAGTAGAGGTATAATAACACATTAATTGCAAGTTTTTTTCGTCTAAATACGAAACGAGAAAAAAATTTAGATAGTCTAAAAAGGAAAGTGAGAAAAAAATGAATTAACGGAGGAAGTATCGCATTGCTCAAGGAAACAATATTGCATTGGGAGAAAACCAAAGTAGGACTAAAATATTGAAAATATACCAAAATAGGACTCGCATATTTTTTCCCCCCGAAATAGGACTTACATTACCAAACACGGTCATATACATTACCAAAAAAATATAGTAATGTGCACATGTACACTGTCACATTATCACAGTGCAAAAAGTCTTATTTTAATACTTTTCTCTATGTTTAGTCCTATTAAGGATGATTTCTATATCGCATTACTTATCCCTTTCAGTGTTATACGGAGTATAAGAAAAATCGTTATAAGGAAACAGTACTTTGAATTATTTTCATTGATCATTCTGTATCAATGCCTAATTTTTTTTCCTCACATGCATATCATTTTATTTTAAAATATGTACTCACATTTTTATATTCACCCATTTCATATCAAATTTATTGCAAAGTTTCGATTTTTTTTAAATTTTTTAAATATGAATATATTTTTATTCAACTTTGTTAATATTCGTCCATTCAATTGTTTAACATATTCAATATGTATAAACTATTTTTTTCATAAAAAATATAGAAAAAAGAAATTAAAGAGTCATGGTTAGATATCATTTTATTCCTATTGATGTAAATATAAAATTGATAAAAAATAATCAGTGAGCTATATGCATACCTAGATTAATTAACAATTACACATTTTAATTATCCATGATTTCTATGAAACCTATGAAAGACGTTTAAATTTTTTAGGGATGCAGATTATAATTGATAAAATAACATGACTATAATTAAAAAAAGTACACATATTTTTATCTTTTCTTGGAGTGTTCATTTTCACATGGAGAATTTGTTAAATTCTTCTAAAATTGACATCTAATTTTAAATTTTGTATAAAACTTCATTTATTTAACATAAATTAATTTATCTATACTAACGATTTAGATATGAAGATAAGAAAATTTTTCAATGCTCATTAAAAAGCAACCATATAAATTTTAAATACAAAAATTCTGGTCACTAAAATATCTTGTTTGATTGTGTTATTTTAAAAAATTCAAAAATATTATGTATCAAATTACCTTAAAACAATAAAACAAAATTAAATATATTAAGATAAAACAATATTTAAAGTACGTACCTTTTCTATCCTTTTTTGTTGAAGTATTTCTTTTCTCCTTTCTCTTGCATGTCTAGCTGATCTCGTCCATGTATAGTCCCAATTGAAATTGAAAAATATGATGCTCCTACCACCAATCCTTTTAAAAACAAAAGGCTAAAGTTGAATTAACGATTCTCCACTTATTTATTGCATAATTAATTCTGAATGCCTATGTATTGAAATGAAAAATGAAAATGGGCGGTGAATGTCACATTTCAACTCATTATATATCTCTTTTTATAATAAGATTTTGACCCAAGTATATAAGAGTTTTCATAAATTCGGATATAAAAGTGAGCAATTTAACTCATTGCTAGTTACATATATAAGTAAGGAATTCAAAATAATATTGAGTCCAACCTAGATATAACGAATTCCTTGCTAAAAATAAACGAATCCAGAATAATATTATTGATTATCCAAGATAAATAATTAACGATTGCCATATATAAGTAAAGGGATCCAAAATAATATTAGTATTATCCATCATACATAATATAAGTAAGGTGATGAATAATATACTCATGATCATAATTTTCAAATTTAGTAATATTTAGGACTGTTTCTTAATAATATTTTTCATAAATTTTGTCAATCACCATATGTTAAGGAATTAATTCTTGGAAATCATATCATATCATTCATGGCTATGCATGAATCATTTTCTAACGCACGACCCTATTAGGATAGTGTAGGATCGTTTTCTGGAACTTTCCAGTGGGTCACCCATCCTGGGACTACTCCCGTTTCAGCACGCTTAACTACAGAGTTCTGAAGTTAAAGAGGTGCCAAATGCTACCTAAAACAAATTGGTAATAGAGAGGTGGACACTTTGTATTTAACCACATCTCTCTGTACCCCAAGCCGAGGTAGATTCCTATAGGGCACCCCCTATAGTTCACTACAGCAGTGCGGAGCCCCACTGAGCGGTGGATGGACAGGAGGGGCTTCGCAAGATACACGACTCATGTACCTCGTCAGGTTGGGCTGTCAATACCCGATACCGTGACAAGCACAGTAGCGAATCCCTAAGAGCGATCGATGGTCCCCCATAAGACCAACAGATAGTTTCACATTTAATTATTTACTTACCTTTTGTATTTTAGGAAGGACTTTATTATGGTGAGAATTCCTTGGTAAAAGATTAATATATATATCATGGTCCTAAAATTCTATTTAAATTAATTAAAAATATTAATTTTTTATTTTTTAAATAGTATTTATATTTCTTCATATTTATTTTTAATTTTTTATATTATCATCCTAATTAGAGTTCGTATTGCTGTAATCTGAATACATATATTTACATATAATATTATTGATTATCCAAGATACATAATTAAGGATTGTCATATATAAGTAAAGAGATCGAAAATAATATTAGTATTATCCAAGATACATAATATAAGTAAGGTAATGAATAATATACTTGTGATCATAATTTACATATTTAATATTATTTAAGATTGTTTCTTAATAAGATCTTTTGTAAATTTTATTTAATGACCATATATAAGTAAGGTAATCAATAATATATATACTCATGGAAGTAAGGCAAATAAGTAAGGAATCAAAAAAAGTATTGGAATTTCTATTAGTATAGGTACTCTATTAATTTCAACCTATATATACACGAATTTCCATTAATAAGTCTTTGTTACTTATTCATTTAAGTATGAAATTTATAAATATAGAAGTAAGATAAATGATTAATATATGTAGCATGGTTCTAAAATTCTATTTAAGTTAAATGAAAATTATTATATTTCTTTTTTATTTTTTAAATAGTATTTAAATTTTTTCATATTTATTTTTAATTGTTTATATTATCCTCGTAATAGGAGTTCGTATTGTTCTAATCTGAAAACATATATTCACATATAATATTATTGATTATCCAAGACACATAATTAAGGATTTCCATATATAAGTAAACGAATCCAAAATAATATTAGTATTATCCAACATACATAGTATAAGTAAGGTGATGAGTAATATACTCGTGATCATCATTTTCAAATTTAGTATTATTTAGGATTGTTTCTTAATAATATTTTTTGTAAAAAATAATATTCTAATTTCCATTAGTATAGGTACTCTATTGATTTTAACTCATTTTATACATGAATTTCCACAATAAACCTTTGTAATTTATTAATTTAAGTATGTAATTTTTAAATATGAAAGTAAGATAAAGGATTAATATATGTAGCATGGTCCTAAAATTCTGTTTAAATTAAATGAAAAATATTATTTATTTTTTAAATAGTATTTAAATTTTTTCATATTTATTTTTAATTATTTTATATCATAATAGGAGTTCGTACTGTTCTAATCTGAAGAAAAGAATTTCGTTGAAGGCCAGTGATTATCGCTTAGAAAATCTGCGGTCAATTGTTTTCAACGGGAGATCCGCTGATGCATCGTATATAATTTATTTCCACTGGTTTACTCGGATATTACGTGGCGTGCTGACATGTTTAAATTTTGCCACATAGACATGCCAAATGTCGAATTTCTGTGTATTTGAGTTTCCTTTATTATATTAAAGGATTGAAGAGAAAAGTAATCGGTATATATAAGTTCTTGAGTTGAACTAAGTAATCGATTGAATTCAATCTTTAATTTTAATATGATTCAGCTCCAGTGTTTTATGCCCCAGTCCAATGATCTCCACTCAATCCTAAGTTCTATCATAGTATTGGAGCCGGTTTTAGCCCACCTTGTCTTTCAAGGTGTCCTTCTAGACTAGATGTTCATTCCTAGTGGTCCTTGTCTTAAGCCCAGTTGTCCGTGTGGAGTTTGTACCCAACAACTTGTGGTTTATTTAACCTGATTGCTTGTCTGAAAGTCCATACTCAGTTGCTCGTGATCCTTTAGATGTTGATGCTCAAAACAAATATATTATGAGGGATTGAAGTCCATTTACAATTGGTTAACCTAGTTAGAATCACAATTTTCCGATTATCTATTTGAGGGGAAGTGTTAAAGTATTCCACATCAGAAATTGAAGAGAAATTTACAAATGCTCAACCGAGTTAGAATCAAAATTGACTGGTTGTCTACTTGAGAGTGGAGTGTTAAAGTATTCCACATCAGAAATTAAAGAGAAATATAATCGGTACATAAGATCTTGAGTTGAAATAAGTAATAGATTAGATCCAATCTTTTAATATGATTCAGTTTAAATAAATATAGTTTATTAGGAAGTCTTTTGAAATGAGTAAAACAAAAAACTTTTTTACCTTAAAATAATAAAATCTATATATTCTATTAGATATTATTTTAATATTTTCTATCATTTAAAAATAATCTTAATTTAATAACTTAAATATCTCTCTCCAACGCATTAGTTTGAGTGTTTTGAATGTTTAAAGTCTAAAACGTAGAAACCTTGTGTAGAAGTTTATGGGTGCGGAAATGGCAAGAGCAACGGCCCTGCTGCGCGCAGCAAGCAAAGCCATTAGAGATTCGTATTTACTCAAAGCTCTGCAATCAGAAATCAACCATGAACTTTCTTCCCCCAGACCTTCCCAGGTGAATTAATCCTCTAAGCGATCTTGAAATTCGCATTCTCCATTTTAGCGATTCACCCAAGTTCGAAATCCCGGTCTGGAATCATTGAAATTTTGACTCCACGCACACACTAGAAGCTTCTTCCCATTTTATGAAGATAGGGTTTCCAGTTTGAATTCCTTGTCAAATTCACTATTTTATTCACCAGCTAAATGTTTTTTCTGTTGTTGAATTGAAGTGATTATTAACTTTTAGGGTTTGATGATAAAATGTAATGGAGATTCGATTCCATTTGATGATTACAGAATGATGAACACAGCAGCTCGGGAGATTTCGCAATTGAATGGGATTCACCGAATTCGCAAGACGTTCTTTTGCGAAGGAGATTTGAGTCTGGTGAGGAAGTTGCTCTTTCAGCTATGTTAAGTGCTGATACTGTTTGTATGGAAGATGAATATGTTATGTATCCCAGAGAGGCTTTGGTTAAAGTATGCTTAAAGAAGCCTGGGTTGAGTTCCATCCTGCAGTTTGATTGTCGAGCAATCAGGGATCGCGATGGGGAATTGAACTTTCAAATTGATAATGCGCATTACCTCAAATCAGCATCTTCCCCAGATTCTTCAGCTTACAGAGGTCCTTCTTTCAGGTATTTTTCTTGTTTTCATAGTGCATCCTACTCAGTTTTTTTGTGGAATTAAAATAGCTTTATTTTCTTCTTTTGGTAAACAAATGTGTTTCTTTCTGATCCCAAACTAAGTACACATTGATTGATCATATAATTACATCTTGGTACAGAAAACTACAACAGAAGATTATGGGTTGTGGGTATTCTTTCAGTTCCCAGTTACTAATACATGTATTAAGAAAAAGTTTAATTGTGTGGTGGATTTTAAGTTTGTAAACTATGAATGGCTTTGAGTCACACAATTATGATCAAATATGACATGGGACAAACGTCTTAGGACTGTCCACAATGGAAGACAAACATCTTAGGACTGTCCACAATGGAAGACAAACATAGTGAGACAGAGATAAGTGCCAACATTCCATTTATGATGCAATCCTTATTCTTTCGTTCTATTTTAAGTTGCAGAGAGAGAGAGAGAGAGAGAGAGAGAGTTGCTGCCCGAATTTCCTATGTTCCCTCCCCTAGTAGGCCAAGGAGGGGTATTTATAGATGAATTTGATGCACATGAAAACGCAAAGGGTTGGGCCCTCATTCCCTTCAAAAGGCGCTGCTGGGCTGACCCAATAGTGTGGCCCAAGAGGCCAGAGCCTTGAAGTTCCCTAAGGCCTAAGCTCCCCCCCCCCCACCCCACCCCTTGCAGAGCCTGGCTTAAGTCTGGACCTGCCCAACCTTGCGGGTCATGATTGAGCACATGCCAAATTTCCAAGCCGGGAAATGGTTGGACCCACCATTTGCTAACCAAGTCAGGACCGGCCGACCTTAGGACCACAGGCGAGGTCCTGCCGAAGCCCAACCAATGATCTCCATACTGGTCTGCGGGCTTGGGCTCTTGAGTCTTGAGTCGTCTTCTTCCATGGGCTTGATATCCGTAGAGGGTGTCCATCTGTCGTCTTCATCAACTTTAGGGGGAAAAAGTACCTCCAGATCCGTTTATTCCTTACTAAAAATGCAGCCCACAGTTAAAGAAATGGGATGATAAGAGAATCTATGGTTGTCTCTTTAGTTGAGTATAAAATAAGCCTACTTGTATTTTGCTCTCCTGAATATTTAATTTTGCCTGGTTCCGAGCTATACCTAATTGCCATATTGCAATCATTCTTTTTCCCAGTTCTTTGGACCCTCGACTGCAAACCGAGTTCCTCCAGTACCTACAAGCTAAGGGAATTGATAAAAAGTTTTTGAGCTTTTTAGTAGTCCATCTTCACAACAAGGAACAAGGTCAGTATGTCAACTGGTTGCACAGGATGAAAGATATGGTTGTCAGTGGCACACCAAAATGAATGTAATGGTAGACTTGGGATTTCAGCCACACTTTGCGCCTTAATTAATTTCATGTACCTTTTTTTTTTGCTTTGTAAAATATTTTTGCACATTTTTGTGTAGTTGTTTATTGTTCTACAAAGCATGGTTTTCAGAATAGAACTCGTTCGGGCACCTGTGAAGTGGTCGAACTAGAGTGGTTGCCCCCAAAACCACAGGTGTTTTGGAGCCTTTCTATGATGCTACTTAATTGATATCAAATTGTTGTCCAAGAGTGCACTAGAGTATATAAATATAAAGTTTAAGATAAGAACGGAACGAACTTATCAATAGAGATTACAAGAGAGAATCATAATATTACTAGAATATGAATTATGGTAATGAAATAATAAGAAAATAATAAAATAATAGTAATAATAAATAATACGGAGTAGCATTTGTTTCCAATTATAAATAACTACCTCGATATGATTTGAGTAGTTATGTGTAGCATTTCGTCTTAATATTGTGACTTATAGTTCAATAATGTGCATACACCAAACTTGCTCGCTCTTCTATAAGTTTGCTTTAGGGAATTAGGTCATGTTCTCTTCAACATTTTTTATTTGTTACATATTCTTATTGGAATCATATCAGACCAGATCAGCCCAGATCATATCAGGTCAGATAAAAAATAACTATAAATATAACTATATTGTAGAAAATAATAATGGAGAATAATTTTATATTGAATTATCTTGAAGATTACAAAGATTGAACTCTCTTTATAGAAGAAGAGAGTAACACAAATAAGTAAGTTCTATTTCTACTATAATTCTATTCTTACTTTAACAAAAATATGAAAACTAGCAAACCCTAAAACATATTCTAACACTCCCCCTCAAGTTGAGAATGAGGATCACGAATAAACAACTTGAACAATAAAACTAGAAATACAAAATAGAACAACTCGATAAATTACTTGGACAAAGCTTTGATTTGTTATGCCAACGACGAATGAATGCGACTTGACGAGCAAACAAGTAAGCGAAATTAGATTACGAATGACTCCCACGCGGGATGACAAACGAATGAATAGAATGTTGTCGGACTAAGGATCGACGACCTACCCCCGCTAACTGACATGCCGTACGTACTGCTGGTTGCGACTGTTACATAGCAAACAAGTCAAACAACCAAATACTAGACGAGAACGATGCCCAGATTTCATACAATGAAACAGAATTGACGGATCTAACTTTTGACGGCGAACGAATTTAGGCGAAGAGAATAGACAAAGGATGCCACCCCACCACTGCTGCACCAATAACAGGAGATGCCAATGTATGTCGACTAGCTATTGATGATGGGTGTTTGATGACGATCCAGCAATAAGGTGAGGACGGACAAACCAGGTGGAGAAGTTACTGGACGGATGGGACTCCAGGCGGTTGACTGTTCATGATGGCAAAGGTTGTGTGGCGGACGACAGACCTATTTGTGGGTGGCTGTGGCACGATATGTAGTTGTGGCGACGATAATAACAATTGGCAGCAGCACACATAGAATTAGGCGACGAGGCACCAATAACTTCGACGATGTCCCGGTTTACGGTGACGACCTAAGACTGGGATAGGGAAACAACTACAGATTTATAGATCTAGACGCAAAGAATAATGAACAAAGAAGAACAACAGCCCGGCGGACAGCTAATGGCGATGGCGCCGCCCGCCAGGAGCGAAGACAAAATTTTTAGGCCACAAAGAACGTACCATGTAGAAAGTAATAATGGAGAATAATTCTATATTGAATTATCTTGGAGATTATAAAGATTGAACCCCCTTTATATAAGAAGAGAGTAACACAAATAAGTAAGTTCTATTCCTACCATAATTTTATTCCTACTTTAACAAGAATTGGAAAACTAGCAAACCCTAAAACATATTCTAACATATATTTAGATCAGATTAGACTATATCAGATCAGAATTTATTCTAATTAGATCAGAACTAATCAAATCAGGTTAAGTGAACATGACCTTAGTAGTAATTGAGAACTCTTCTTTTTCGCTTTACATTTTTCTATGATAGGGTAAAGACTATAATTTAACATGACCATAAATATAGTTTTTTACTCATTCCTTATCATATCCTTTTCTCATTTGAATTTTAGTCTTCGATATAACGCTTTGACTTTTAAGATCTTCATTTATACCTGGAATATATAAATATTGATTATAAATGTAAGATGTTTCAAAATTACTACGGTTTTTAGATTTATCTTTCAAACCCCCCACGTCTCTTAGTTTAGTTATTAGATTTTAGTTAGTTGTTTTTATTTCAATAAAAGTGACAAAGTAAACTGATTTTCATAGCTTAAAAAGTATCTTTCCCCGTAGGATCGACCCTTACTTGCCCTATCTATGTGTTAGGTTTTAATGAATATTAATTCATAAAGGGGATTTAAGAGTTAAGAAAAATAATAAATTAATTTGTAGGTGCTAGGACACTCCTATCAGGGTATCCAGGTCATGGTATTCTCCTTTTGACAGATTGTAATCTACAACTTACTGGGTCGTGCAATTTTGATTGGGTTGCGTGCCCTCTCACGAGGCGTTCTTTGACTGGGTGGTTTGTTGAACTTGAAATTCACATGTTTCTTTGGTAGACAAAGAAACAAATGACAATTTCTTACTCATCTGCTGAGGCTGAGTATAGGGCCTTTGCTGCTGTTATTTGTGAGTTAAAATGGTTAGAGAGCCTCTTGTGCTCTCTCGGGGTCTTGCACGATAATTCTATGACTAATTTAGTTTTTCACGAGCGCACGAAGCATATTGAAATCGACTGCCATTTTGTTCATGATGAGCTCTTTCGCGGTGTGACTCGCACGCATCATGTTTCTACTACGCACTAGCTTGCAAATATACATACAAAGGCGTTGTGAAAATCACATTTGGAGTTTCTTATTACCAAGTTGGGCATTTCGCTTTTGCACGCTCCAACTTGAGGGGGGGGGGGTATTAAAGGAGAGAATATTTCCGTATATACTATTATTCTGTATATGGTAGTTTCCCGGTATATTTGGTTTCTCATTCCTTTCGTATTTCTTTTCTTTTGAAATTGTTTTTATATAGAGTTCCTAACTTGTGGACAGCTAGCCTTTGTTCATATTGTGAATATTAAAAATACAAGAGAAATATTTTCTCCCAAAATATTACTCTTTCAAAAAAAATTCAATGTATGGTACACGAATCAGAATGAACCATTATTAGAGAGTTTTAAACATATGACATTACACAGAAGAAACCATACATGCAATTATAAAGAGCTAGCAATCAAGACATAATACGATGGAGTGTTACATGGTAAAACAGATGGAAGAAACCAATTCAACAACAATCAATACATGCATTACAACATTACACACAAAACAGAAACAAAAAATACGATCGAGAGAGTACACAATATGCATGATGCTCTTTTTCCATAGAACGGGCCGGGACACAATTTTCATAACATTACCAAGCAGTCATTTCTGGCCCCGTGTGCGCAGGCTTATCATCAAATTGATATTTAGGTGACTCCCCGCAGCAGCAGCTGTATGTATGATTTATGAACCAAATCACATGGAGTTTAATTACATTAGGGTAATATTATAGCAGGAAGTACCATGTATAGTAGCAGGAAGTACCATGTATAGTACCATGGAGTATATATTACCCTTATAAAATATTTGCACTAAATAGCATTAAAACTTAAGTCATTTCTCTAAATAACACTTAAATTGTTTTATTCCCTAAATAGCACTTAATAATGTCTATAATGACCAGTGATGACAAACATTTACTTGAATAATGACTAGGGAATAATAGTGCTACATTGAGAAAAAAACACATGTAGTGCTATTTAGGGAAAGTCATTATGTTTAGTGCTATTTACATAAATTCCTCTTATTATTATTGCACTATTTATTCTAGCTTATTTATCTATCCCGAGGATCATAATTAAGATTCCGATATTATACGGAGTATGTGTATGTATATATATATATATATATATATATATATATATATATATATATATATATATATATATATATATATATATATATATATATATATATATATATATATATATATATATATATATATATATATATATATATATATATATATATATATATATATATATATATATATATATATATAGAACAACTAATGTTGCAAATCAAATGCATACCAACCATCTCCCTTGCTTTGCCAAAACCCATACTTATTCTCATTGCTTTCTTGAGAGTTCAACCCAGGATAACCTTTAATCATTTCATTCCAAGAAAAAAAGAACAAGAGGTGAGGGATATGTGCATGGTTGTTGGAGCGATTGTATCATTTATAAAACTTGGTAGTAAGTAATCAAGTAAATTTTTCAAAATAGATTATACAAAATACTACTCCGTAAGATCCCGTTTGGCATCAGCATTAGAGATTACGTTGGCGTTTTGAAAAGGTTCTCCGACGGTAGCATTTAGCGTTAACGTTTTCTGAATTAATCTATACCGTTAATATATATTTTATCCAAAACGCTAACGCTGATTGTAAACGCTCTTCCCAAACAAGGCCTAAGTTAGTTAAAGCAAAACATGATACGTGTATTATTACATCATTATGTGTTATTGTAGTAATACCAATATTTAAATTAACTAATAAATTCACTGCAGTTAGTTATAAAACAAATTTTAAAGTAAGTTCAACTTTCTAATTTTGCTCCTAAATGTCATGTGAGTTGAGATAAATTAAAAGATCGAGAGGATGCAAGCAATGTGGGAGGAAAATCAATAAGGTCCCGTTTGGTACATGGAATTCAAACAATGGAATTGGAATTGAGGACTTCAATTCCAATTCTGGTGTTTGGTAGTACAAAATTTATGTGGATTTGGAATTGATAGTGTAAAAAATGAATTGGAATTAGCAGAATTCAATTCTATGGAATTGAATCCCATGAAATTTCAATTCCAATTTCACCAATTTCGTATACCAAACGAACCCTTGTTGTATTTCATGTGTTAGTCTCCCATGGGCGATTAGAATTCCTCAATTTAATTTTG